ATCTAGACTAAAATCTAGACTAAAACTTCCGGTTGAAAGGATGAGTTGAACGAGTTGAAAATTTAATGGTTTAGCGTTTTAAAATTGTGAAGACAATTTTTGACGGTTTTATCGCGCTTAACAGCTGGCTTGTCTGATTGACGTCCATCTATTTTACAATTTTAAGCCAAATGTACGTGCATTAAGCCCAGGGTGAAAGGCATCATGAAGATAGGAACACTCGACTTGGCAATGGGCCAAAGGATTTTCAACGATTCTCACTGAGACATTGAGGTTTACAGTTTACATCACGCACACTTTAATCACAATTTCACCCAATGAAACTGATTCAAGTGGTTATTTGTCCCGGGAAAAGGTGCATCCGGAATGGAGAACTGAAAGGCTCGAACTCTAGTCGCTGAGGAAATAAATAATCGGTGCTGTGAGAAAATCTCCGATAAATCGTATTCTTTCATCTAAATGAAATTCCCCAAATTCCCTTTTAGCTGAAACGCGCATCAAATTTACAAGCGAAAAAGGGGAATCACGGGAGCATAAAATTTCAGTTGAAATTCTTTTTGATTAATTCAAAATGCCCGGGGAATTGAAATTCCAGGAGATCGTTGCGGTGCAATGTTGTTTAATTAAATGCTACCGGGAGTTGAATTTAAAAAATGGAAATAAAATTGTTTGAATTTATTGCCACGGCATTAAAGTCTAGCGCTTTATCTGTTTTCTCCCTGGCATTGATCGTTTCACTTGCCGAGGCTTTGTCAAACTTTGATACTGTGTGTACCGGAAGTTTTCCAATTACGTACACTAAGTACAGCACCTCCAGCACATGAAAACCTCTCGATTCCGCGGATTTTCGGCTCGATGAGTTATTGCAAAAACCGCGAAAATTCAGCAGTCGCGGCATTATTTTTCATTCGTCGGTACAACCGATCAATCGGATGGTACTGGTACAATTGGAAATTCAGATTTCTTTACGGGGACTAATGGATTTAACGACGGGTTCATAGACTCCTTTAACGGCAGGCACGACCTGCCAAAAAATTTGGCTGTCAGCCAGAGGCCAAATCGTAAAATAACTCGACCTGTAACAGTCACTGAAACAACATAATGGTGGCATTTTCAACATGTAAACAATGACACCATGCAATCACTAGAAAAGTCTTTTCTTTAAGTGCAATAGTCAAATAATTAATCGAAATATTTATAATTATTTTCATCATGATTATTTCTGTCGCGAAGTGTCAAGCTATTTTTTTCGACTCCTTTCCCCCGCCGATTCCTCGGAACTGAGGGAAAATAACGAAAATTTCATGAGTATCTTTTTTGTAGCTCCAACTTTTCTCTACAAAAAAGGTTTTAGCCAAAAATTCGATATTTCTCTTCGATTTCGAGATACTGACTGAAAACTTGTCCCCAAAAAAATACACTTATCCTAGTTTAATAGTTTGTTAATGATTTATCAAATTATTCATCGCAGTAAATGTTTTGTAGAAAAAAAAGAGGAAATATGACGGTATCAATATGCCAATTGCAGATAACACGTGCCGGTGACATGACAGCTGCGGCATTTGTTGTGATAGATCATAAATTGTCATGAACATGAGTTTATAGCAGGTTAAATCGCGGTGGCACTCTTCAATTAATTGGACCTCCCAGTGTTGGTTATTATAGCCCTCATCTATTATCCACGTTTATCTATTTATCCGGACTGCGTCTAGCTACAAGTGATTCTGATAGCATATTAAATTCCCATTCAATGTTTCATAGCTTTGGATTCATCGCAATGAATGCACAAACCTATTTAAAATTAATAAACAGTTATTTCGTAAACGCTGTTAATACATTGGCTATGAAAATTGTATGAGATCAATAATAATGATAACAGCCTTGCTAAGGCAACAATCCTGGATAAATTGTTTAACAACTACTTCAGTTGCTGTTATTGTTACGAGAAATAGTCGCCATTCAGAAGTCAGAAGATAAACAGAAAAAATTGTAGAGATTGAATCGAACAGACGGAATGAGCAGATGCTTATTATTCTGATGGTATTATTTCTTACTCGAATTACATCGGGATAAACGAAAATAATCATAATCCCGGATAATGCATTGAACTCAAGTGCACCCTTGAAATTCAACGAGCGGAATATTCTCAAGTGTCTCCTTGAATATCGAGTATGTAAATTCGAAACTTCCAATACACTCGGTTTGCCCGACTGACAGAGAAGATTAAATATTTCTAACAATTTGACATGTCACGGATGCCACAGCTTCCTGCAAATTATTATTTATTATTTTTCCAAGACTATTTTATTTAATTGCCCTGAATTAATGAATAATTGCGATTTTTTAAAGAGCGGATACATCAGTAGTTTTAAAAAGTTAAACAAAAATTATCAATAACTCTGACTCCATGGGAGATACCGAAATTTTCATAGAGACCTGTTCTATCAAGTTAATCAAGAGCTACAAAAAAGGTTCAGATGAAAATTCGTCTATCTCTCTTTATTCAGGAGATATCCAGCCATGAAGTTATGGATTATAGAAATTGTTGAAGAAAAATTTATGGAAAATTTGTTAATGTGAGTTTGTTGTTCCACGGATGATGGGAAAGTGATAAAAAATATAATCCCAGGTATCTTATGCCGATAGTACTATTCTCATCTAGTTCGAGTCTCGTTTATAGGCACGAGACGATTATTATGGTAATTCTATTCGTGGCGATAATGGAATTGGGACAGTACCTCGGAAAATTCTCTCATTCCACCTCCGAAAAGCGATTCTGAAGAATATATATAGATAAAATAGCCAAGGAATAATCAATTTGAATAAAAAAAAGATTATCTTATGAAAATAACAGTCAACTCTGGGAAAACTTTATCATTCTGCCAATTTGTTGGCTCAAGTCAACAAAACCGCAAAATAATTAATTTTCCGCAGTTGAATATTTCCGCTCGGGAAATGAAGGAAAATCTCATTCGTTCGTGTGGTAATTGTAATCATGTGTGTGTGTGACATCATGATGGGACGTAAACATCTGAAATCAGAGATTATCCTTTTCTCTCGGTCAATTTCCTCTGATTGATTTTCCTCTGGTCTTATTTTTCTTGGGTGAAAAGTGTACGATGTGTCGAAAATCCGAGAATAGATGTTGGTACGTGACGGAATGAAATTGAGAACAGTGTATTGAGGCACGTGTGTTGAACGAAAAGGGAAATAGAGGGAAAAAGAGTCGAGAGAAATACAAGTGGAGGCAATCGACCTTGCTTGTAAGAAATTCACTTGTAACTGGAATTTTTTGGGAAGTCATTGAGTCCCCATCAATCTGACGGCAAAACCGCCAGCTATTATTATTTAAACAATAATTTTCTATAATTCCTTTTATAAAAATTGAGTGACGGAAACTCAGATAAAACACAGAAAAATGAATTTATTTTCGAATGAATGATTTAATTCTTTTGGACATATAAATTTATTAACTTTAAATTCCCCTCCACCCCATATAATTAATGAAAAACAGAGACTGCAATTATTATTTTGAAAAATATTTCTTCATGATTTTTTCCGTAAGAATTCACATGTCAACCCGGCGTGACAGAAAAATTATTGACGCGGAGATTTTTCGGTTTTCAAAATTGTCCGGGGATTTTTTGAATTTTCACTTTTGGTCCACCCGTTATAGTTAAGGAAAAACAGAGACAGAAGGGGTTAATACTCCGAGTTGTACCGAGTTTGCTACCGGCCATCTATTTTCGACGCATGACAGAGGCATTCTGCCAAAACTTATGTTAATTGAACCGAATTGACGGATTATTATTTTTTCGCTTGAGGGGGAAACCCTCGGGCAGAAATCAAATATTTTTATTGACTGTTGATGAGTGCCAATTCGATTGATCGCTCCGATGAAATTTAAATGCTGACAAACGTCGCGCATGACTCGTCTAAAATATCAATTAAAATTTCCGTCAAAATCCCACAAATTTCCCCCTTCTCCCCCTCCACCTCTCCTAAATTAATTACCAATATATTGAAGAATTCTTTAATTAACACAAATTGTGTATATTTTTGGGTAAATATTTTTGAATATATTTCTTGGGAATTTGTGGATGGGCGTTTTGATAAATTATTAACAATTTGAATTGAGAACGTCCCGTTGATTCGGCGAATGCACGCTATTTACCTCTGCATACATAATGTACGTAGATAAATCGATTGGATTATTCATGTGTATTTGCAGAACGATCCATCGGGATATCGGCCCAGAAGTGGCGCCAATGTGGGCGTTACATTGGCCCGAAATTCAGCATCCGGAAGCGCCAACTACCGTACGAGTTACTCGAGTAATTTGACCGGTGCATCGAGAGTTAAGGACAGAATCAACGGTGTGGTTTCATCTGGTTATGCTAATATTCCCCTCAATAAGCGGGACATCAAGAGTCACGATCAAACTTACCACAAATTTACTTCAAGTAAGTGTTAGTGCCACACAGTGAAAAATTCCCTAGAAACTCTAGTGAATTTATCTAGAATTTTTCCTACCGCACTTCTGGGTTTCCCCCGTTTACCAAATTCTCCATTCACCAAATTTTTCCATTTCCACTCAGACCCAGTGCCCAATGATTCATCAGTCATTATTATTTCCTTTATATTCTGAAATCTGCAGGATAATTGAATTTCTGGTAATGAATCAGTGAAGTGAAGATTTAATCATTTCAATCGTGGAGATTGCGCAGTGATTCATGATTTTTTAACCACTTGTAGCGACGAAAGCGGATAAAAGTCGTCTGAATCCGGGTCGTACATCGTCAGAAGATCTCAGGAAGAGTCCAATACCCGAGAGAGCCCTCTTCGATAAATACCCAACGTATCCAACAAAAACAGAGCGACCCTCAGTACTCGATAAATACAATCGGGGCGTTGGATCACGTGATAAAGGCAGAGAGCAAGAAGTAACACGGTATATAGCAAATACGTATCCAGGCTCTGGGTCACGTTGTAACTATGACATGGCACAAGCGGAAAAGAAGGAGCGCACTGACAATTCATCGTACAAAAGTGTACGTGCTACCGGTGGTACTTCCAGAACTTCGAGGGAGCCAAGTCCAGAAGTTCCTCCAAAGAGCTTCAGAGTTTACCCGGGAGTGTCGAATTATGGACGCAGCGCAAGTTCAAGTAAGTGAAACACTTGAAGAAAAAAAAAACATTAGTACATCCTTTTCATTCGAAAAAAAATCCCATAGAAATTTTGTATCACGACTATTTAGTACAGGACTTTTAAATAAATGTCTTGTGACAATTGTTGTTAATAGTGACGGAATTAGAAATTAATTCAATTGATGACGTTGCGAATGGTTTGTGTAAATGAATGAAAGTCATTTCACCAACGACTTGTAATTTTTCTCTCCAACTCTGGTCCATCTGAATTTTCGGAAGAGGACATCGAAATAACACCGTAATTGTTTTTTAAACTTTCCAGCTGAAGCAACACCAATTGCCCCGAGGTATCCAAGCTCATCTAGATACGCTCCCTCTACATCACGTACTGGTGAACGAACAGCAAACCCCGTTGGCTATTCAAACTCAGAGAGACTGCGTTCACCCAGTGTGAAAATACCTTCAAACTTCAAAGAAGAATGTAAGACATTGCCGTTGGCCAGTGGTGAGATTGCGAGTGAAAAACCGAGGGAGATTGAAAATAGTGGTGGGACGAAAAGGCCGGAAACAACAATTCCCAAGGAAAATGAAAACTGTCACCAAGAGGCCGAGGTAGATACCGATGTTGTAACATTAACAGTCATTTCGAGAGGCACATCACCAGGACCACCGGCATCATCGTCATTCGTTCGTAATCGACGTGCTGAGGCAGCGAGACTAATACAAAAGGAAATAACAAAGCTGAGGAATAAATCTGAGACGAAGGACGCAGAAATACAGTCGGATAAGCCTGAGGATTCTTCAATCCGCTACTCGAGATACTCCAGTGGAAGAGTTTGGCCCTCGTACCTCGACAAATTCACGTCCTCAGGTTCTTACTCTCGGAATTATACTCCAAGAATCGCTGGTTTCGGTTACGAGCGTCAGTCTTCTGATTCACGAGACAAATCCGCACGAGTTGATGCACCAGATAAAGAATCCATTCAAGACAACAATTTTGAATGTGATAATGATACGCAAGTGCCTATGGACTCGGTAAACAAGGGGAATCCCAGTGGTGATGGGACAAAGTCAAGAAGTGGGGTTGGTTACACGGCATCATCTACTGGTCAAAATGACGCGGAAAAAGAACAGAAGAGGGCCAGTACACCGCGCAGATACAGTCGCTCTCCTAGTCAAAAATTGCAATCATTTAATCACGATAGATCTGATGATTCAAGGGGTGATAAAGAGATGAAGAAGCGTGGAGGCTCAACAGCATCATCAGAGGGTGTAGCCAAGTTATCGCGTAATAGTTCAGGAAAGTCCCTGAATCAACGTCAAATGACGCGCACCGACTCGTCGGATTCGTCTGTCAGTTTGCCAACTGGCAGATCTAAAGCCTCGATCGCTTCTAGTCATCAGGCAAAAATAAGAGGCAACGGATCTCAGTCGTTGGTGTCCAGTGGTAAAGTGAATAGCGTCAGGACAAGTGGTTCAGAGGCACGTGGAAAACCTCCGGTGCCTAAATCCTGTGAGGTTAATCCAAATATGAAGGTATCACCAGCGACAAAATATGTAAATAAAGATTTTCGCAAGTCTGCTCTTAATATGCCGGATGGTACTGAGGCTATGAGACTTCAGTATGACAGGAAGAGAGGGAAAAATGTTCAGAGGAGTGTGTCAATGAGTTCACAGGACTCAGAGTCGAATAACAGCGAGACGAGTTGGATGAAATGCTCGAATGCCGTTGGAAGTGGTTCATCACTCCAGGGATTACAGACCACGAGGAGTGGATCCAAGGTGAGGGGTAAAAATTCAAGTTCAGAGTGCAGTGACACCAGCAGTGGCTCCTCGAGTGAGGACGATGAGGGGTCTAAGAGGATTCGGTGTAAGAGAATTTCCAATTCACCGATGATGGAGAGGAAGAGGGCAATCAGTGGTGATTCCTCGAGGACGAGTGCACTTCCGTCATCCGCTGATGAGTTGTCACTCAATACAGAAAAACCGCCGAGGCTGTCTTCAGGTTCACGATCACCGATTCATAGGTCACTGAAATCAGAGGATGCCAAATCATTTTTAATAAGAGCACTGACACCTGTCACGAATTTTATGAGGTGTAAGGAGGATAGGGAGGTGGAGGAGAGTGTGGAGGGAGTCAGGGTATCGGGGTCAAGCTCGGTGAGCAAATCAGTTTCGACGGGCTTGGGAAATAGCCGGTGTTTTTCACGCGAAAAGAGTTGCGAGGGAGTGGGACAGGGGACACTCAGGCATCAATCATCGGGGGAGAAGCCCTGGTGGATGGACTCGAACTCTGAGAATGTGCCCGAGGGTGTTGAGAGGATGAGCGTTTGTCAGGATGACATCAGCCAGGAGACAACTGTCAGTACCAATCTTCCTGATGATGGTAAAGATATACATAAATACCTATAAATAATTATTCGGAGTTCATTTAAGGTCCGAGTAATGAAGATCATCTGCTTCATGATTTTATTTTCAACAAATCATCAGTTAATACGAGAACACGAAGAGATTCGAGAGATCGTCTAATTGAAAATAATTAATAATTAAAAAAAGTGTTATTATCCTGTCCTATTATGTTTTTCAGGTAAATTCAAGACACGAATTTGCAGACAGGATTCAGAGGAGCGTCCCTGGTGGTTGGACACAGATGATCCGAAAAAGTCCACGTCAGCATCGCCAGTGTCACGAAAAAATTCAAGTCGCACATCAAATGAACGTAGAAATCGGTTAAAGCATCAGCAGTCTGGTGAGAGAGCCTGGTGGTTGAGTGAGGATCCAACAGACGTGCCTGAGGGCATTGAGGTTTATCCCCCAGTTGCCATAGTGTCACCGATAAGCGTTAGCAACCCCAGTGGTGACAACTCAGTGAGTCTCGTTGAGGACGAGACACATACGAGAAGCCACCGGAGGATAAGTCACGTTGAGTCCGGTGAGAGGGCTTGGTGGATGGACAGTAATTCCAATATACCAGATGGCATTCAAAAAATAACACCAGACCGAGAGACTAACAGTCATTCCGATGATTCGGACGAATCATTTGATAAATTCGATGTGGCACAGTCCAACTCCCAACAATCGAATTCAACCTCGAGATTTCCAATTCCATTTTCAACGACTCAGGATGAACCTCTTGGTGATCGAGCAAGTCCCGAGGGGGTAAGACCACAAATCATTCAATATAAGATAGAAATGAAAATACTCATCTGGTAAATTAAATTCAGAGGAATGTTTTGGGTGGGATAAACAGCAATTTGATGATTAAAATATTTAATTCAGTGAGGATTATCTTTTTTATTTGGATTGTTTAAGATCGAGAATCCACCAGATCCCCCTGACTGTTACGAGGGTCGGGGATCACCCTACGACAACGTTCAGTCACTTGGACGCTCGACACCCCGTAAATCTTACAGGAAACGGCCATCAACTCTACCCCTCTTCATTGGTAACCACACAAACATAGACGATCTACTTGGCCAAGTAACACCACGCCACAGTCCTATAATGTCCCGTATACGCAAACAGCAAATGATGGAGGGTGAGTGCAATCTAGAGATCCAAACCCTCAGGGACATTAATTCACCCCTCAGCTCTACATTTTCGTTATTCACTCTGGGATTATGAAATTCAAATGCCGAACACTTCGATTTGTATTTCCATTCCTATCTTTTCATTATCCATTTCATTATTCCTTGACCACTTCCAGTTGTCAAATCAGAATCAATTTATCCATAATCCACTGGTATGAAACCAGAAAAAAAATTTTCAGAAATGAGAATAATGTAATGAGAGTAAAGGTAGATGAGGCATGAGATGTGGAAAGGGTAAACGATTGAATTACATCAGGAATTACACTGGGATTAGTCGGATTGCCTGATGGAAAAGAGATAGTGAAGGGTTGGGGGCTGACCTGAGGAAGAATGAGGGTAAATCTAGGACTGGGTAACACGCAACCGTTTTGCGATGAATCGATTGATTTTATGGTTGCACAGCAGCATTAACAGCAAATTTGTCCGGTTTCGTGTTTCATAGGGTGATGGTTTTAGGGTGACTATTATTTCCAAATGCGTTGATACATTTAATCCAATCCGCAGTGTATTTCAATTCGGTAACATCCGCGATAAAGTGACTGTAACACCGGTGAAAACATCGGCGTGAATATCGTGTCGTGTATGGGTTAGATTTCGCCATTAAATATTCATGAACGCGGCCTGTGATGTTAACATTCGTACGAGGGGGATGTGACTTTTAAGCAGCCGGAGTTTAACCGAATTTAGTGCAATCAGTTGTTAACTAATTGAGCGATTGTATCAAACCAAAAAAAAAAAAAATCAAAACAGTTAAATAAATTAAAGGGGTCAACTGATTTATCAGGAAGAAAGGAAGAGATTTGACGGTTTTTTTTATTTTGTTGCAGACGATTTGGATGAGAGTTCTGAATGCGAGGAGATTGATGCAGATCAGGTGATTATCCATGACAGCACACCACAGACACCAGTGATACAGCGACGTGGCAGGTAAATTACTGAAAAAAATGAAAATTATTACTTTGAAATGGAAAATTCTCATTGAGCATTAGCAGAGTCATCCTGACGAATGATTTTCCAACGTGTTTTTCAGGGACACTGAGAGACCACAGCCAGACGGTTACATTCCGGTGAGTGCCTGCAGTACATTCACTTTATTGACAATTTCTTACTTGTTTTTTTTGGGGGGGTTTTTTTCCTCTCGTCTCATCTCCACTAAGAGATAAAACACGAAAAGACAAGGAGGGTGAACAAAAATTGAGGACAAAAAGTTCCTTTCACACTTTTATAAAGCACATGTGCTTTTTGTTCATTCTAAAGGAGTGAAGTACGTATATACATACGACATTGAACGTTTTAAAGACGTCAAAGGGAGTTTTTTTAAAAATCCGGTGGAGACAAAAGACGCGTCAATCTTTGGATGGGGAATAGGCTGTACTGAGGGTGAGGGTGAGGGTGGTGAGAGGGCATTATTGTTTATTATGAACTGGGGGACCCCTTGCGTTTTTTTCAATTCTGAAAGAATTGCTCTGTCTGCACATTCGGTTTTTTTTTCCATGCGACATGCATTCAGGTTTCTAATATTACGAGCTTGAATCCAATCTTGGGTTTAATTATTTATGAAATTTTTCATTTATCTTGAAAATTCCATAAAATACTATTTTTGGGATGAATTACTTTCAATCGATTTTGTAACAGGAATCGAATTGAATTGAATAATCGAGAGAATCGATTGATTTATTGGGGGAAAATTTAATGTTGGTATTAATTGAGAGGATTCTTTGAATTCAGTATTTTCTCATTTAATTGGCCAGCTGGCAAGTGTATTCGAGGTTTGAGAGGGAAATTAATTTATTGGAAAGCCCGAGGGATTTACAATTCAAAATATTACAATTAAAACACGCCCGCACCAGAAGTTCTCGGGATATTTGAAAAACAAATTTCGCGGTACCTAAAGTTTGTTCCCAAGATCGTCGGAGTGGTGGCATTTGATTGTAGAGTTACCAATTGAAAATTCCATTAATTCTCAAGCGGCATTTTCAGTTGATAAGATTCTAATCCTCGACATCTGAATTTTATGCTCGTCCTCTTTACAAAATCATCCAATTGTCTCCAACATTTCCATTATTCACACACGCGCTCATTTCGTCGTGGAAAGTTTCCGAGTTTCAAGTGAGAGAATAGAACAATATGGCATAAAAAAATATAAAAGAATCGAGATAAACTTCTGTGTCGTGCAGAATTGACTCGAAAATGTGTTTTCGACAATGAAATTTCCTTTCCACTGTCGATGCTCGCTCGTGTCTCTGAACTTACACTAGTGCTCACATACTTGCTCTCAATTTTTTTTCTAAAAAATACGGGTTTGTTTACTCTGAAAGTTTACTAACTCCTGGAAATAATCTACAAAAGTCCACCGAAAGAGATAAAGTATGTCAAAAAATCGGATATTCCATCTCTCGGTGATTTAAAACTGAAATATATTCATTTATTTGTCCAATACTTTGCCCCTCTGTATTTGTTTTGCCGATACCATCGGTAATAAATCCGCGGATTGTAGGTACAATAGAATAAATATTGAAAGAGCAGAAAAATAGTAAAAAATGGTATTGATCAGATTTCCAAATTCGAGATTTTTTCAAGATTAAATCATTCGGAATAAGTCCAATTTTCAATGAAAGGTTATTCAAGGTTATTTGTGACATAATTTTTTTCGTACTGTAAAAAATACCAGGAATATCATATTTTTCACAAAAATATATCTTTTGTACTGAGATATAAACAATTCTATGAGATATATCAATATTTGTGTGAAAATATTGCTTTTCTGTGGACAATAAGAAAATTTTGATGAGTTAATTAATTGAAAATTATTCCAAATCCTAATAATCATTATTGGAGTTCATTCAAGGTCATCTGTCAAGTACCAATCCGGCTGTCCCCCTGTCCCGCGATTAAGATTATTTTTTTCTTAAAAACAATAATATTGCTCCTAAAAATCT